GTTTGTTTGATCTGAACTCAAACTGAAATGCCATTTGTGTTCTTTTAATGACGCTGCAAACTCCACGAGCTGCCGAACCACCTTTTGTTCTCCTGTGACAGTAAAGATCTATTCTAGGAACACACAGAGCGGTTTAGGAGCGAGATGCTGCAACAGTTCTCCTAAACTGCTCCTTTGACGGTTTCTATTTTTACCTGCAGAACGAGGCTACGACTGAAAACGCTTCAACTATCTGTGAGTGTTTTATTAGAAATGATAAGAAAACAGGAGAAGACAACTGAAACACAACGACAGTCTGCACACTGAACACAAAGTCACACATCAGCCACGGACCTCGACACACCGACATGCAGATTCACCAGCCACTAGTTTGGTCTGTTCTCCGCTCGTGATCTTTAAAGCCGACTTTATCCAAACCCAAGAGTCTGCAGAGTGACTGGTGAAGGACTCGGACCGACGTACAGCCATGAAAACATGTCTCCACCCCGTTCACATGTGCTGCCAGACGAAACATGTGAAAAGCTCGGCGTGGTCGAACTCACAGCAAACAGACACACGAGTAAAGAAACGACAACAAGAGCGTCGGTTCACTGGGAAGCACGACTGAGGACTGAGGCGAACTCTGAGCCTGCATCCGGAGCTCCGTTTACCTGCAGCGACATATGCCACTCATACTCCCGGCATGCAAGCTGGGCCTCAAACCTGGCCTTCTCTAGAATCATCTGTCTCTTCTTCTGGAACTCATAGCCTCCTTCATCCGTGTGCTGCTACGGAACGCATCAGACGTTTAGGCTACAGGGACCGTCTACATGCTTACTTCACTTTACAGCACAAACAGAACACTTGAACTCTACCACAAGAACCAGAGGGTCTCTGCAGACCGGAGGCCCGTCCAAGTGGAGTTAACGCCCTGAATCCGTCAGAGCAAAACCAGTTTGAAGGCCGGATGTTATCATCACGTCATCATGAGATTAGGATGGTGTAACTATGACAACATGTTAAGGTGCTCATCAGTCAGTGAACAGAGCGAATCTTCAACTGCTTTGCAGCGAATAAACCAGAATGTGTGGCGTCGAAATGTCACGAACCTACTTTTAAGTTTAGGTTTGGTGGGGATTTTAGAAGTACAAATTCCTTAGTGTCTTTGTTTGTTGTTTTTTTTTTTATTGATTTTTTTTTTATTATTTTTTAAATTTGGTGCAAAAATTGTATTTTGCTGATTTTTATTTGATTAAATTTTGATTATTTTAAGATTATGCTCAGCAAAGCTTTTTTTTCACATTTTTACTGAATCTGTTGAGCACAAACAGTTGATTTTTTTGGTGAATTTTTACAAAAGAAATGTAAAAGAAGTGGTGAAATATCACAACTTTAAGCTCAGGTTTGTTTGTTTTGTACAGAATCTGGTGCAAATTGTTTATTTTTGCAAACAAAAAGCTCAACAATGCATTATAAACACATTTCTATTGTGAAACTAAAGCTCAAGCCTTTACTGGTAGTTTCTTTGCCTGTATTTGTTCACATTTCAGAATATAAAGGATTAGTTATTTGAAGTTCCTTTTTGCTGTGTGCTTACTGTTTGCACTGACATGGAAGAAAACTCAGAAGCTTGATAATTCTCAGGCAAACTTTTAATCACTTCTATACGTTGATTTGACGCCTGAGAAAAAGACGAACTGTTGAGAAAGATGTGTCGAGTTATTCGCGTTCTGTTCTCTGAGGATGAAGACACCAAAACTTCAGCTTCTCTGCAAATTAATTTATCATCTCGATCACAGCTTCTGGACGTTACTCGCCCCCCTACCAGCTGATCCCACTTGGAGTCTTGCTCCGCTCTGCAGAGACGAACATGAAGCCACGATGTTCAGGATTTAAAATGTCCGACTCTGACGCTCTCAGCAGAAGTAGTTCAGAGAGAACAGACACCAACCAACAGAAGTGACTGCAGAGGCTTTGCTCTACAGGAAACTTTGGACAAGTTTAGCAGGATTTAGCCTCTGATAAATCCTCGCTTCTTCCCAATATATATACATATATAAACTAAATAGCTAATTAACCAATTAAAGGGCGGTGATATGATGTTAAATTTAGCTGAGATGAGCCGTTTTCAAGCATCCAATGCACCAAACTACAGAAATAATCAACTTTAAATTAGACAAACATTTGAGCAAGAAACATTTTTAAGTCTCTCCAGATTCAAACCATCATGTGTGACTAAACTTGGAATACAATTTCTCTTTCTGTCATTCCAACCTGCTGTCAGATATTATCACATATGCTGACGACATCCTGCTATTTTTTTTGTCTAAGCATTAGAAAGGTTGTGCTCACTGTACCTTTGGTGTTGTGGCGCCGTCATCGCTGTCCTGCCCACTGAGGAGACACAGACGGTAAAATAAGTCTTTCATGTGTATTGAAGGAAAATATTCCAAAAGACAGATAAACAGATGGAAGAAATGCCCCGAAATATTAAGAAAATTAAAAAATGACCGACTTTGCAGCAACTACTGACAGCATTCTGTGGCTAAAACACAACAAACAAGCCACATTTAGTTTTAAAAAATCCATTTGCACTTTAAAAAGTACACCCCAAGTTTTAATAATTTCATTTTTTACAGGTACAAAACTAGCAGCTACACAAATCAGCCAGTTTCAGCAGTAAGTAGAGCGACTGACTGGTCTTGTTCCTAATCTAGTCTAGATTTTCGGCGACGATTAAATAAACTATCCACTAATTCTTCGACCCACTTGTGCCACTAAAGTCCCAAATTTCCGATGAGGACAAATCACTGGATGAATCAGCAGAATGACCCAAAGCTACCACATGAATTGTAAGTTTTGCTCAACATTTGCAGCAAAAATCAAGTTTTCCAACCTTCCTGCAAACTTTAAGCACTCGTTTTAAACAAAAAAAACAACAACAAAATAACACCTAAAATAAAACTACAGGTTCTGTAAATCGGCCGTTTAACAGGTATTTACCAAAGCATTTACTTTTATTTATTTAATACTGTTGGAAAGATAGAGGGGAAAAAAAACATGGATGTGTTGCATTTGCTACTAAACTTTGTGCATTTTCAGGAGGATGTGGAAAAAGTTAAACACCCAAATACGGTGTGAAGCATCGATATTGTTGCTATGGTTACCTTCAGTTGTCTAAAACATGAGCTCCGACTGAGAGGAAGTTGAAATAAATGAACCGGTCAACATAAACAGACGTATACAGGATAAGAACTGTATAACTTACTCTTTATATCTCACATAAAGCTGCCTGTAACTGCCTGATCTGTCCCAGTGGTTCATAATGTGGACACGTGCTGCTCTGACTGTGACAGATGAACTCTAAGCACCAACATGGCGTCTGGGCAGGAGCCGAATGTGAAACTGGAATTTTTTTTTTGGTGGCATCAGGTTTGAAAACGTCGAGTCGGTTAGCGTTTGAAGTGTTTTGCTTCTAAAAACCACTTCACAGAGTCTCGTCATGTTTTTCCTGCAGAAATGACTGAAACACCCAACGTGGTGATGTGGGTTTATTACGCTTTACGTTCCGCTCCTACAAAATAAAAGCCTCTCCTCCTTGGACTGATGCCACCGCAGAGACCTCAGAGTGTTTCCTGTCTTAAGTGAGTATGTGTTTAAAAACAGATGTTGGAATGGTTGGTTGTGTAATCCAGCAGAAACTAGCTTTTTGCGCGATTACAGTATAAAGTAAAAAGTAAAATAAACACTAATGTGGAGTCTTACTTGAGCGACTCCTCCACCGTGACCATCTCCACCGGGTAGAGCTGGACTCCAGACAGGTCATCCTGATCCACGTTCACTCTGATGCACAAGACGCACAACGATTAGAAATTAAAAACTTGTCCGTTAAGCAGCAGAAAATCTTAAAATCCCAGCAGTTTCAGGGCATTTTTTGTTGTTTCTGTCACATTTTTTACCCACCGTGAGCTCATCTGTCACTGAAATATAAAGTCCCAACCCTCTAATCAGTGGCCCACACCCTGGACCACCGGGCCACCACGGCCCTCTATCGCTATTTTGAACATCAACATTGTTTTATCTGCAGTATTTCACGTCTTGTGCGGCTGACAACGGTACAGAAACATGTCAATAAGCAGAAGCAGAAGAACAGTTCTGGTTCGTCAGCTCTGTGTTTGGTATTTCCGACCTGCTGGGGTCCTGCAGCAGCTCCACGGCCTCCTTCAGCTGGTTGATCATGTCAATGTGGAGCTCGGTGCTCCGACTCACTCTGGACCTGAAAGCACAAAGACGCAGGAAACGTCCTACAGTCACAGCGGCCATCGGAGGTTTGTTGAAATGAAACAGCGACAGCCAGAACACCGTAAACCACCAGCTACAGGAAGTAAATCACTGTTTACATGGTATAAATGATACCGCTGGAGGAAGTAAACGTTACACAATGTAGTCATAACAAATAAGGAAATTGTGAAGAAAATCCAAGATAGTGGAGCTTCATGTTTGTTGAATTCTGTCTGTTTGTAGGTTGTGATTTCACATGGATTGACTCAATATTATTTTTTAAAATAGGAATCTAACATCAGCTAGTAGCAGATTGCATTAGTTAAAGTGTTATCCATGTATAAACTATAGTACAGAGTATGAGCTCTGGCTGGAGGGTATTAAGCATCACAGAAGCCTCAGTCATGGTGCCGTTACAAGCAAAACTCCCGTACTGCAGCTGATCTGCAATACATTTTCTATGTAGACAACAGAGGTTTTCAGTGTTTCTTGGAGCTTGTGGAGCCCGGTACGTCCTCTTATTACTATATGTTAGATCTACTTTACAACAACGTTCATAACCAGCTACGTAACAACTTGGATGCAGTTTGTTTTCTGAACACACGCATATACGCTGGATTGCTTTTAATAACTGTAATGTACATGAATTCTAGGAAAAAAATGTTTCAGGGTTAGGACTCAGTATCACTAAACATTAAATGACCCAGGTCTGATCTGGAGCATAAAAACTTAATTAGGACGTCCCTACTGTTAACTTAAACATCTCAAATCTGCTAATAAAGGTAGAATGCTAGTTATGGCTAATTAATGAACTCTGGCCGGAGGACATTAACTCTCACTTAAGTCTCCGTCACGGTGCCGGTTGCTCGCAAAACTCCCATAATGCTCTCTGCTTTCCAACTGCCCATCTCCTTGTGTCACTACAGTATTAAACAGTAAGAGGCTCCACCTGGTGGAACAATCAGGTACTGCAGCTAATCTGCCATACATATTCTGATGTATGAAGAAAATACTGGTTTTCAGCTTTTACTTTTGGAGCTTGAGGAGTCCAGCACGCCTTCTTAACGCTATGTTTTAGATCTTCTGGAGCTTTACAACAAGGTTCATGACCAGCTACGTAACAACTTGGATGCATTTTTTATTTTTTTTGCTAAACACACTGCAGATTCAGTTGTCAAGTATAAAGGCTGGATTGTTTTTAATAACTGTACTGGCTCGAGGTTAGGACTCGGTATCAGCAAACGCTAAATATTAAAAGAGTACAGCCTGATCTGGAGCATAAAAACGTCAGTAAGAAATTAATAACTCAAGAATCTACAAAAATTAACGAACTCTGGCAGGACGACATCAATCGTCACAAAAGCCTCCGTCATGGTGCCCGTTGCTAGCTAAACTCCCATAATGCTCTCTGCTTTCCAACACTGATCTATGCACCTCTTTGTGTCACTACAGGGCTAAACAATATGAAGCTCCCCCTGGTGGAACAACCAGGTACTACAGCTAATCTTTCCAACATGTATGTAGAAAATACAGGTTTTCAGCATTATTTTAAACAAATACATATTTTAGATCTTCTGGAGCTTTACAGCAAGGTTCATGACCAGCTACGTAACAACTTGGATGGAGGTTTTTTTTTTTGATTAACACTTTGCAGAGCTATTCAGTTATCAAGCATAAACGATGGATTGTTTTTAATAACTAATGTACATGAAGTCTGTATTTTCTAGGAAAACGGGGTTAGGACTCTATCAGCAAACACTAAATATTAAAAGATTGATCCGATCTGGAGCATACAAACTTGATTGGATGTCCCTACTGATAAATCAAACACCTCTAATGTGAAGGAAAACAAAAAATCAAACCATGCATTTAATTTCCAACAACATTTTGCACTCTCTAAGCTTTTTATGTAAATCCTAGCATGAGAAGCAACCTTCGCTGTTAGATGGAGGTGAAGCAAGAACACTCATCAGAAATAGCAGAACATGTTAGATGAGCTTACGTTTGTTCCGTCGGCCAGTGTGAGTCTTCTTCTATCCTGAGCGGCTCGTCGAAGTCTGCCGCCGTCCGACCCTGAACACACAGAGCACCACACATCAGCGGCCGTCACATGACCTGCAGGCTCAGCCAGCCATTGGCCGAGACCGGGAGACGTTACCGGCGTCTCCTCCGTACAATCAGAACCCTGTGACGAGGCCCGTCTGCTTCATCCTCCAACAGTCGCTTGTTTCTGACCAACGAGGAGACAAATGGAAACAAAACCACTGGCTGGTGTCGTTTTTCTTTTATAATGAACTGTCTGGTGTCCGTCTAACAGCACGCACAGAAAAAAAAAAATCTACATAAATATGAAGAAATTAATTAATAAGCAACTGAAATTTCACACAGTCGTCTGTATGCAGCTGTGCATGTTCATACTAAACACATTGATGTAGTTCTTCAGGGCAGTAAACCCAGACAGACACTCAGTTATTGACCCAGATAGATCAGAAAAGGAATATTTCAGAAAAACGTCCACAGACATCATTTCCAATCCATTGTTTATGAGCACAGTGTATCCAACCAATACTGGATGTGTGTAAAAGATCGAGGACACATTCCTCAGAGCTGGAAAACAGCAAATCATCCCATATTTTACTCCATAAATGCTGCATTTTCATACAGTTTTCTGGTGAAATTTTGCGTTTATTGCATACATGCTGTATGTAAGTGTGGCCTGCTGAATCCTAGTCAAATCACAAATCCACATTTTTGAAAAAAAATACAGTTAATTATAACTTGGGTCTTAATTTTCTGGCGTCAATGGTAAGTTATTAAGACCTGGCGTCCACATGTAATTTATTATTGTTATTATTATTATTGTTATTATTATTATTATTATGTATTTATTTATTTAAAAAAAATTCTTCATATTTTCATTTCTTTTCTTTATATATATTTCTTTATTTTTTATTTTTTATTCTCAAATAAATAGAACCAAGCATTGCATCTCAGACAAGAGCTCTGGTCTTCAGAGGTTAATAAAATAAACAGCTGCAGTTATAATCCGATCTGCTCGTTTCTATTAACTTGAGCAGTCGGTCTTTTCTTTCCTGCTCCGGCTGCATCGGCTGTGCTGCTTTTAGCCTCTGTGGTGTTTTTAAATTCCTCATTTTGGTTTAGAATTAAATGAGGAAATACGACGTGTTGGTGGTTGTTCATCCCTTCATGAGGACGTGCTCATAGCGAGATTCAGAAAACGTGGATGTAAGCAGCTTCATGTGGCTGCAGTTGTTTGATTTAGCGAAGTAAGTAAGTAAAGTTTATTTATATAGCACCTTTCACACGTACAAAACTACAGTAATAAAACAGTGCATTAAAAACAATAATAATACAAAGACAGAAAACAGAAAACATGTTGGATATGAGGAACTGGTGTCATAGTTTTAGATCTCTGCAGTTAACATAGTGTGTTGTTGTTGTTGTTGTTGTTGTTGTTGTTGTTGTGGCCTATTTTTATGGACAGCTTTAGTCTTTTTCTTTCAGCTGCTGCCCTGATTGTGTTCGACAGATGTGGGAGAAAGTAAAGAATAAATCTTCAAACATGACTGAAGCCTGTTGCTGGAGACAGAAGGTCGTTCTAGTGCTTCATTAGTCTCTGATTTATCATCACACTGCTGTAATGAGAACAGAAATGTAATTTTTTAACCTGTTTGCAGCAAACAGGAGAAACAAATACGAGCTGATGTGACATATTGATGCTCATGAGGGGAACAGAAGTGTCCTGACCTCTGACTGTGGGGGTGTTTTTATCTGGAACACAAGCGACCAGCAGCAACCTGAAGCTACCTCCGAAACCCTAAATCCTGCTTTGTGGTGAAGACGTCTGGGAACAAACTCAGCTGTCAGGTAGGAAACAGTGTGAAGGACAAACGGACAGCGGTGACGCCTGAAACATCTGGAATCGTCCCTCAGCGCACAGCGAGGGCGAGTAAAGCCGCTGAAGCTGGAATAAGTTGGTCTGATTGTCTGGATGAAGCGAATGAAAGTGGGTCTGCTGCACCGTCGGGCCGCTCGGCTCTTTTCTTTTGTTTTTTTGGGCTCACTCCTTATTTGGTCGCGGCTGAGTCTCCACGGCGACACGCGCGGTGACGTCGCCGCCTCCGTCTGCAGCGGTTAGGAGGCCGAAACTTCACCTAAACAGAGCTCAGATGTGACTCACGGAGCAGAAATATGAATCAGAAGAGTAAAGACGGCTCCACGTTACAGGCTGTGTTCCCCTCTGGGCAAACGTCAGACAAATATTTATAGATTCTTACAACTTTAAAGCCACTTAAGGAGTTAAAAATGGAGAAAAAATGTATAAATTATGATTAAATATCATTTTGGTCCTCATTGTTTTAATATAAAGGATGACAGGTTCTGTTAACTGAGCTGAGTAATGCTGGAAAACCCATCGCACTCTATTATAGCTTTATTAAATCAACTTATTACTGACTGTGTAATTAGTTTAAATGCTTCATCTCAAAAATAACAGTTGAAGCTTGTTGTTGCTGAAGTTTTGTGCCTTTAAGTGTGAGTCTCCTTCATTAAAGTGCAGCAGCAGAAGACAAACGAGTGCATGAAACTCGTACGAACCAACACGAAGTGACAGTCGTCGCTAACGAACTGACACACACACACACACCTACACACACACACACACACACACACACACACACACACACACACACACACAGAGTTCTATGTAACGTCCAGCCCGAGCGTGGTTCTGCTCACGGACTGATTTGTGCAGAGTGACTTCTTGCCTTGATGTAGTTGATGAAGCGAGTGCTGAGAGCCGAGTCCCTGTAGCTGAACTGGTCCTTCAGGGCCTCCGTAGGACTCTCCTCGATCAGGCGCACGCCGTCCGAGTTCGTGTCGGCTGAAAGGGAGGAAACGTTTGAGTCTGAGGAACAACAACGACGACGTTTGTTCTTGGCTGTTTGATCTGAGCGTCTTGATGTGAATTCATAGATTCTATAAACAGGATTGAACAGAAAACCCTCATTAGACACAAGCTTGAAGCATTAAATATCCATCAGGATCCTCCATCAGAGCCACCGATTGGTGTTTATTCTCAGTTGTTCTGGAGTCTCGTAAAAAAAAAAAAAAGTTTTTAACTGTAATTTGTGAATAATTTACTGCTATTTTCAGATTTTCCCTGTTTTGTTAAATTACAGATAATAAATAGAAAAATGACGGAAAAAGTAGGAATTTTCTCAATTTTATTCAATTAATTGTAAAATAAATAAATGTAAAAAAATAATTATTATTTTAAAATTACATTATTTTTCTGTTGTATTCAAAATTTTAAAAAAAATAAAAATATTTGACTGATATTTTTTATTATTCAAAGAAAAATTATGTACATTAAGGATTGTTAAATTATAGATAATGTCTATTAAAACCACTGAAAAGTGTCTAAATTTACACGCCGATTGCAAAACAAACCAACCAAACTATAAATGTATTTTTACAAATAATATTCTGATATTTTATCAAATTTGACTGTAAAATTACACATTTTTTTTATTGCTTTTAAATCAGCAGAAGAACATCAATTTACTGATGTTTTAAGTTATTTGAAAGAAAAAAAATCTTAATCTTAAATATTGAAAAATGGTAAGTCATTTTTTTAACATGTTTTGTTGAATTACAGAAAATATTTAGATAAATTACAGAGAAACGTATTAATCTACATGCAGACTGTAAATAACCAAACTTTACATAATGTCCACATCAACAGTAAGTTTTTGTTCTTTTACAAAGTGTGACCATAAAATAACACTATAACTATAATCACTACTTTACAGGTATTTGCTATAATTTTCAGTGTTTTTACAGCTTTTGACAGTATTTTTTGGTGTATTTTATCGCTGCCAGTTCTTTTTTTTTCTTTACAGTGTAGAAAACAATGAAATACAAAACAAACTTTAAGGCTGCTAATTTTTTCCACTGATGCTGTAAACTGTGGTTCTGGTGAAGTCCACCCAGTGCCGTTAATAACCTGTTGGGATGTGCAGCAGCGCAGACGGACCTCCTTCCCTCCTGTCGGCTCAGTGACGGTGACCTTCCATCAGCGCTAACCTAATTAAGGCTGATTGAAGTCTATTTAAACCGAGCGTCTGGGGAGCTGCTGCCGTTCACTAATATAGTTCAACAGCCCAGATTCTGGCAGACGCACAACTGGTGGCTTAGAAAAGAAGAAGCGACAAGTTTCTACGCTAACGGCTGAACAGCTGATCGAAATATTAGCACAACTGTAATATCATGAAGTGTAAGATCCGAATCAATCAGAGCCGCAGTTTGTTAATGAAGGTAAAACAACATAAAATTATAAATGGAGCTACAGACATGAAAAGAATTACTAGCAAACACTGTTGTTGAAAACACAAAGGCAACAAGAGCAGCCTCTCATTTATAACCAGCGCTAACAGATTAGCTTTAGCTAGCTAATGCTAACTGTCTGCTTAATGTGCTGGTTTGAAGCTCTGACAAAGATCGTCTGTATCCCTCTGGAGCATCACAAACAAACATTTTATATGTAGAATTTAAGTGAAATAATTAACATTTTTTAATAATATGAAATATGTATATAACATAACATAACATAATATAATATAACATAATATAATATACATTTTTTTCTTTTAAATAATGGCAATATGATAAATACAGATAATGCCATTTATCAGAAATTTTTTTACATATATATATATATTTTTGCATATTTTTACTAATTTACTTTCTAATGTAATGAGAGTGTTTTGGTCAGACTTTGTAAAATACCATACATATTAAAAAAAAGCTTGGACTTGGTTACTGAACCGCTGCTGCCAGCTTCAACTGGTCAGTGGAGCTTCATTAAAACAAACAAAACAAAACAAACAAAAAA